GTGAAATGCCTGCTGTTTACACTGCAACAGAAGCTAGCCACAGACCAGAAGAAGGGGCAGCTGCTGACCAGTCTGGGATAGAAAGGTAATAGGTTCTTGCTAAAACACTGTTATTTCCCTGGTTTGACACTTTATGCATTTGTTGTATAACAGGCCTCTTTGATGCAAATTTCATACGCTGAGTTTGCTATTCTGGAAAAAGTTTTCTGGCCTCACTGATTCCTCTGTTTTTGACTATACTCATTTTTTAAACTTATAATTTAGTGCAAGTGACTCAATGTTTTCCATGATATACAAAAATGTTGCTCATTTAATAGGGCAGTTCCGTAAAATTTAAGATTCCTGAATTAAAGGACAGAAAGGACTGCCTGGTTATCTAATCGTATTCCTGCAGGAACAGGCCAAAGAATTTCACTCCTGCATCAAGCCAATAACCTCTGGTTAAATTAGATCGAAGAGCTCTTCTGTTCCAATCATCTGTCTCAAAGTTATATGGTTCTCCGTTTCAGGTAACAGCCTCACTGGCTGGTAACAGCCTCATGTGTCAAATGGATCATCTTGGAGACTCCGTTTCAGGTAACAGCCTCACTGGAAAATCATGTGTCAAATGGATCATCTTGGAGACGCTGAAGAAATACACAGGCTACACTTTGCACTTAACTTTTTCTTATTCTACCCTTTTTATCTGCTGACTTGGCAGCATTCTGTTTTCCATAAAGGATCTGTGCTTTTTTTTTGAATAGTTTTACAGACTGACAGCACAATCATGATAACCATGAAAGATGATGCTGATCACAGCTATCTTAGGATCATCCCACCTGCTTTTTGACTTCTTTTGACACACAGCAGTAAAGCTTACAGCACGGCTGCCTAAACAACAGGGCTCTTTCAAGTACTACAGGACACAGCCTTGTAAATAAATGCAACTAAATGTGCATCATGGGGAGCAGTGATGATGTTTTCCCCGGACTTGCGCTCAGGGCAGAGCTGAGGTCAGGACCAGGGGATCTGGAGTAAGAACCAGGACTTCCAGGTGAGGACACTCCTCCTTGGAGCACACACTGAGGCTTCCAGGCACCCTCTGCAAAGGAGTGTCTGACTCCAGGGTGCAATAAAATTGCTACCATCCCATAGGGCTGCACCATATCTGAACAGGGGTGCAGCCCCGGCCCCGGGCTGCCGTATGAACATCTAAGAGGTCCTCACAAGGCTTGTTCAGCACAAAGGGGCTCTCGCCTTCTGTCACAGATGTAGGAGACCAACCGAGCACGGCTCCAGGCCTCGTCCTGACCAGCCAGACACAGCACCAGTGGATATTATCATAGGAACACACATGCACAATCATCTTTGCTTTCTTTTTCCTGTACTGCAGTGTAAAACTGTCGGGGGAAAAAGAAAAAAAAAGGCTACTGATTAACTTCAAAGCTCACAAGCAAGTTACATTTACTCTACTGCTTCTGCACTTGCTGTGAAAAAGACTCCTTCAGAACTGTTATCAAGCTATTAATAAACAAGTATATAGTACTTTTACTGCCCATATTATCTAAGTTCCACATAGGTTGTTGATAGGACCAGACTCTCGCATCACTATAAATCTCATCCTTGTTGCAGTCTAGGGAGATTTTCTATTAACTCCTCTAGCATCAGGATTTCCTACGCTGCATGTACACAGAAACGTGTATCACAGTTTCTTTTAAACTGAAGCAATTCAGGAAGCTGCGGCAAAGGAAATGAAGGAAAAGTACAGGCTAAGAGGAAAGCTTTCCTGGGAAGATTTGCCTTTGATTGACTGAATCAGACCATTTATTGTTAGCATACGGTGCTCACAGCAACGGGTTGGAGTTCAGGTCTTTGCATCTAAGTCTATAAAATAGGTCGCAGAAATAGGAGTTTATCTCGAGGGCTCAGGGCCTATTGTTCAATACACTTGCAAGGAAGGCAGAGAGGAAAGCAAAACTGCTTCCAAGTTAAAAAGGAAAAAGACAAAAAGCAAGACTGCAGACCTCCGAGAGGGTGATATCCTGAAGCCGTTCAAAAGCCCAGGAAGGTGTTTCAGCTGTTAGGATCCACGTGCACAGCTGAGCACTCGGCTTCCTAAATATTCCTGACGGAATCAGTGTCCAGGACAAAAAAAAAAAAGACAAACAGCTCTTGCTAACCTGTGAACGTGTGTGTGCAAAATATTTTCCATGCTACTAATCAGCGCAAATCATGTTGTGACAGACAATACAAGAGCATGGCAGCTGCTTGTGCAACTTACACGGATCTGTACGGAAAGGTTGCGGTTTCTGGCACGTTTCCATGTGACATAAAAAAGGCTGTCAACCCGCCTGCTCCAGCCAGGGGCTCGGCAAGGGCAGCTCTGAGACCCTGCACCTGGAAAGCGCGCACGGGACACGTCTTCCTGCTCCCTCTGACGCACAGCGCAAAATCTGTTCAGCTACTGATTTTTTCTTTCGGTTTGTTTTGCATTAAATAAGCAGAACTAACAGATCGTGAATTCCTGCCACCCTCGCCGATGAGCTGCACGAAACCAGCAAATACCAAATGTGCATTGTAAGGCGAAGGATCTAGTCAACACTTTCTTCTTTTTGTATTAACAGTCAGTCGCTCACATTTTTATTACACAATACTGACCCAATCCCATAATTCTTTCAAACCCAAAACTACCCATCAGCATCTAAGCAGCAATTTAAGACCAGGACAGAGAAAAGGCTACAGGACTGTCACCAGTCTAATAAAAACTCTACTACAGACCCAATCCTGCATGGATTTAAATGCAAACCTGGCTTTGATCATGGGAGTAGCCCCAGTCACTGCACTAACACATGTAAACTGAGTGTTTGCAAAAGCCACTGCAGGAAGAAAGCAAAATCTCTGTCTGTTCACTACAGCATCACGTGTTCTCTGGTGCTGGCACTAGGAAGTGGCAGGATCGTGTGGCCCATGCTGGGGATGGAGCAGGGTCCCTTCCCCTTTCAGTGACACATCAGCCATATTTTGGGTCCAACCCTGAGCTCCTGTAGTTATTTTTCGATAAGAGGAATGAACTATGCCTGTTCTCTGATAAAATGATAGTGACACGAAAAAAATGAAGTGGAAAAAACAGAAGGTGACAATTCCACAACAGCAGATATAAGAACTGTCAGGTCCCAATAAGGCTAATAAGACTGAACACAACGAAAATGAGCTGATTTTATAACGAGTATTTCCATGTGTCTAAATATATCAGCAGTAGAAAATGACTTCTCAGCTTCCTTTACTGCAGTGCTGCAAAACCTCGGTTGGTAGAAATAGCAAAACCCATACAGGACCTCATAAGTCCAAAAAGAAAAGAATAAGAAAAAAAAAGAAGTTAAATCCTGTTCCTGTTCTAAAGAAACTGCTCCACTTCCTTCCATATTTTGTTCCATCCATCTCCAGCAGCCACCCACCCCTAATACCCTCCTGCAGCAGGACATTCCAGGATGCTGCAGCCTCCAGCGAGCAGGCTGTGGATCCAGCCAGGCAACCACATCCCGTCCATGGGGCTCTGCCCACCCTGGGGTGACGTAGGGCAGCCCCAACTCCTACAAACGTGCCTTACTATGGGATAGGGATGCAAACACTCGGAAGCACGGGGGATGCTGCCAGTTTCGGCCTTTTTGCAGTGCCAGGCAAACTCCTGCAAACTCCAGCCTGTAAGAGGGAGTCATCCCTTGGCAGCGCCGCGGGCTCCCAGCGGACACTGCCATTAGCACGGGGTGACTGGAGGGCCCCACTGCCCTGGATGTCCCACATGCTTTGGGTGGCCTAATTAAAGGGTGAATAAATGGCATGTGATGGCCCCTGGGAAGGAGAGGAGGCAGACCTGGCAGCGGAGGTGACGGGCTGGGGAGTCGCGCTGGGGAACAAACATTGCTTTGTCAACACAAGTGACAACTTAATTATCGTCTTCAGCAAGCATCCCACTTCATTCCTTAATATGTTTTTGGGAGATAGGTGGCTAGATCTGTGAAAAGTGGAGCAGCTCTTTAGCTTCTCAGACCATATAAAATGACTGTTCTGTTTTATTACTTTTCTAATTTTTATTGCCCTATTTTTTCCCAGCCTTTTGTTCTAGTTTCCTATTGTCCAATTTAATTGCTGTGGAGAAGCTTTACTGAATAAAAATTCTATACATTGGGGGAGGAGGGAAGGGTGCCTGGATGGGCAAAGAAAAAAGGGAAGGCGGAAGGGCCGGTTCCAGCGCTGCGCGTTACGCAGGGGCACCCA